TAGTACAGTAAAAGGTTTGTTAGTAAAATTATAGTAAGTTATAAAATATATTAAAGCTTTAAAAGTTTATGCATTATCTCTGACTTACATCACGTGTTTAAATATAACTTATTCCATTAATTAATGTTAGTTATTTTTCATTTGAGTTTTCATTCAAGCACCAAATAGAATGTGTATTACAGTAAATAAATTAAATTAAACCTTTTACAAGTACGTGTTATTTTATTTTTATTTTATCTATAGTTTTCATTATTTGTTGCAAAGGATATTACATTTTAATGTATTGCAAAAAATGTGTAAGGTACCTGCTAGGTATATTACAATTTTATAAATACAATAATTACAACAAGAACAAATCATAAAATAACACCGTACATTGTAGCTATTTTCAGACTTAAAATATTACATACAATTAGTTTATGCAAAATACAGCATTCCAACAGGTTTACATATTAATTCACCTTGAAATTAGCTATTTGAAATTAGTGTGCATGTAAATGCGTTACATTGTGTACCGTATATGTTCTCGTATAATCATACTGGGGGCCCCATCGGCAAATTCGCCCGGGGCCTCTGAAGTCCTAAGTCCGGCCCTGCTAAAATAAATAAATAAGATCATTCCAAATAATAAATTACAAAATGCAAACTCACACAGCAAACCATGCATAAAAAAAACAAAACAGCAAGCCAAGCAAAACAAAATAGCAAACTTACATACCAGTTACAGGCAAAACCATCCAGGTGAAATGGGCTTAGCCCTTACAGCCTCAAAGAAGTCCTCAATTTTGTACAGAGGATTTAATACCAACCATTTTCTTATGACCATACAAAATTTAGAGGTACACAAGGACCGTACTTCAATCGGTAGGCTGTTAAAAAATTTTATGCCTGAAACAGGAAAACATTTCTGAGTCAAACTTAGCCTATGACTAGTCAAATGTATGCTATTGGAACTTCTTGTGTCATGTGTGTGTACCTCCTTGTTTAAAACAAAGCTAGACTCCTCAGACTTGATGGCAATTAAACATTGATAAATATATACATTAATGACTGTCATAATCTGCAACTGTACAAACAATGGCTTACAGTGTGCAAGATAGTGTGCCCCACATATAACTCGCACTGCCTTTTTCTGCCATATCAGGATTCTCCGAACATGAGGGGAGTGACCCCAGAGCCTTGTCCCATACAAAATGTGGGACTGGAAAAAAGAGAAGAAAGCGAGTCTCACAAAATTAAGGGGAACTTCACACATGAGCCTCCTAAGCAGATGAGTGACTCTACTAAGTTTAACGCAAAGGCCATCGATGTGATCACTCCACCCAAGTTCAGAGTCCAAAGTGAAACCCAACAACTTTACTGTGTTACCCTCAAGTACTTTCTTGCTTAGGCTAAACAATATTCCTTGTGTTTTTCCCTCATTAAGTGCTAGCTTATTACCAGAAAACCAATCTGAGGCTGCATTAAACAACACATCAACATTATTACACGCAATATAAGGAACAGGATGGTTCATAAACAAGTAGTGTCATCCGCGTACAACAACATGTCATGAGAAACACAATGATACAGATCATTCATGGCAACAATGAAAATGAAGGGCCCTAACACTGAGCCCTGCGGGACTCCACATCTGACCTCAATGGCACTCGAGTTGCTACCATTCCAACTTACAATCTGAGACCTATTGTCTAGATAAGACTGCACCACCTTGAGGGCACTCCCCCCAATGCCATACTTCTTAAATTTCTCAATTAAGTTGTCATGAGGAACAGAGTCAAACACACAAGATAAATCGCACAAAAGAACAGCAGTTGACGACTTGCTCTCAAAAGCTTCCAAGATTACTTGAAGGAGAGAATCTACAGCCGTAACTGTAGACCTTCCCCTCCGAAAACCATGTTGAATAGGGGCAAGGAGGTTATTCCCCTCTAAGTGGTCACAGAGCTGATTCAACATGATCACCTAAAATACTTTACCAAACACCGGTATTAAAGACACCGGTCTAAAACTCTCCATTACATCCCTAGGGCCCTTCTTGTATACTGGCACTGTTCTAGATACTTTCAGTACATCAGGAAAAACACCGTGCAGAAGGCAGGAGCTAAACAGATGGGCCAAGATTGGAGCAATCAAAATGACAATCCTTTTCATAAAATTAGCCGACATATCACAAATATCCTTACTATTAGAGGATTTAAAGCTATTTACAGTATTTACAATATCTAAGGCATTCACCATTCTCCACTGGAAATTTACATGGGCCAATGGAATGCTATCTATGTAATTATACTCATTCACAGGAATCCCACTTACAATATCAGCCACTGAGTCTACAAAAAAGTGGTTGAATTCCTCAGCAGAAGCAAACTTGCCATCAACACCCAAGGAACCAGCTCCATGTTTATTGATCAGGTCCCAAGCAGCCTTACTGGGTTCGCAGCCCTGGATATTTTATCAGCCGCTGCAGCCAGCTTCGCCTCTCGTAGTTTTAGACGATAGTTTCTTCGCAATTCCCGAATATAAGGAGTAACACCGGGACTACTTTTGGTCATATCATGAACAAGAAGTATGTGCCTTTTTAAGTCAGCAAGTTCATCAGTGTACCAATTACTAACATGACACTTTGCAGGCCCGTCCTTAGATACACCGTTACGTGAAGCTACTGTCTTGCGTTTTACAGGAAAATAGAAATCAAATTTACCCTTAAAATTTTGAAAGAAACTGTTAAATGCATCATTTGCTGGGAGTCCACAAGTCTCATTAAACCACACTGCTACTTGACTCGCAATGTCGTCACAAAATACATTCAAACTAGTCTCGTTAAATAATCTGAATGAAACAGATTTTGTCAGATTGCTTGACCGATCCTCCCGAGCTATGGGCCTAGTACATTTAAGCTGAAGGAAAATGTGCCTATGGTCCGCAATTATGTCATCACTGACAACAACAACATAGTTCCAACTGTCAATATTTGTTAAAAAAGAATCAAATGGATGATTTGTCCCTAGTGCACAAAAACACTACTATAAAAACCAAAACTACGGAGGGTATTTAAAAGTCCATTGAATCCCTTCCTGTATTAAGTAGGTCTATATTATGGTCTGTACCTATAACCACCGACAGGCCAAATGTAGTCAAGAAAGCTAAACAGAGTTCAAGCAGTTCAAAAAAACGATCAATCGAACCATTAGGTGAACGATACATGGCAATTATAATAAGATTCAAATCATGTAGTAATACAGCAGCAAACTCACCCTCGAAATCCTCACAAAAATTGCTTACATCCAAGCAGGTGAACTTCAGCCCAGATTTCAAAAATAGGGCAACACCACCAGAATAAGAATTTGTCCTACAGTAATGGGAGGCAAGCTTGAGGTTCCCAATACAACTATAAAATTGAACTTCATCAGGTTGAAGCCAATGCTCCATTACACAAAGCACATCCAGGTTATTATGTGCACACAGAAGTTACAGTTCTAATATTTTATTTCTGATACACTGGATGTTTATCGAGCAGAGATTTAATAAATTCACTACCGGTACCCTGGATTCATTTGAGGTCTCGGTAAAAAAGTCTTAGACTTAATAGGTCTAGAAGACTTTTCGACAAACTCCCTCACAAGGGTCCCAACAGGCCAAAAACCACAGTCAGCAATTTTAGAATAGTCTTCAGTCTTCACGCCTAACTTAAAGGACTTATATGAATCATGTTTAGGCTTTAGTTCAACACAGTCCACGTCAATGTCGGTTAAATAGCTCTTTACATAATCCACGATGTCACCCTTATTAACTTATTAACCTCGAAACAAACAGCCAATTCTTCCGCTCAGCAGCACGCACCTTGGACGTTATTGCTATGTCAGTCCTTGTAACAATTTTTGGTTTATTTAGCTTCCTTTTCTCAATAATACCACGACCTCGATTTCGCCGTTTTGGGACTCTTTTCCAATCCGAATTGTCTCTAATCCCGTCGTTATTCACTTGATGAATTGGTGGAAATTGCTCATCGTAACATTCGTTGTCAATGTCAAATGGATTCGGTGCTACAAGTGCAATGGATTCAGATTCAGTCTGATCTTGACTCTTCTGACTCAGACTAATATCGTTGTGGCCTCGGTCACTCCTACTGTCACCCTTCAGCACAAGTCCTGAATCCAAGTCAGATTCAAAAGTCTCAGTCTGATTCGCTCTGGCGCCGGATCTGACCACTGCTGAAGTCAATAACGAGCTGAAGTTGCTACCCCCAATTATACTCTTGACTACCGTAGTCTCGGGTCCATCAACAAGATATTTACATAACCTCTTATTAGAGGCAGATAATACTTCAATCGACCTATTTATATTTTTATTGTCGGAAACTAAGTCATTTACAGAGTTTACTAGTCTATCAACACATCCACGTAAGTTTAGGATTTCGTCAATTAAAGTAGCGTTGGCAATCGCCTTGTCCACCTTACCAGTGCACGACTTGCAGTACCACTTCACTTGTTCAGATAATTCACTTATTTTATCATAATTGTCTTCGTTAACATCAACACAAACTGGGTGATGCCATCCTGCACAAAAGCCTTCGCAGTATATACCCGGACAGCTGCGTTTAATTAGTTTATTACAACTTTTACACGGTGCTGGCGAATCGTCTGTACTATTGTTCACCATGTTCAAACTCGTACAAGGCATACAAGCATATCTCATAGAGGAGAGACAATGTAGGCTAATACAATCAAAGGTTAATTTTAACTAATCATTAAATTGTTTATTTGATTTTAATTATGTTCTTTTGTCAAACCCATGACTATTATTATGTTGTTGTCACTAAATTAAATGACCCCTTAGTACTGTCCCATATTATATTTTTCTTGTTATGTCTACATTTTAATATTTTTAAAAGTAGCCTATATCGTTTTTTTAATAAGACACACAAAGTATTTTTGGAGATAAAAAAAACCTAGAGGCTTATAGGAATAATTATTTCTGACTTTATTTCTTAATTACAGATGGAAAATTCATTTTGGAGCTCTCTCATCGGAAAGAAGGAGAGAGGACATGTTGGATTCCTGTCCCAAAAAAGACATTCTGGCCAGCTGTTGGAACTCCAAAACAGGAATGCTCCACATCGCTTAGTGGTAAAAGATAATATAATTTAATTTTAACATTGGTAACTTAATGTCAAATCAATGTCCATTAGACTCCCTCTTATCTGGACTCCTCGGGACCGAGGCCAGTCCAGATAACGGGGTTTCCGGTTAAACCGACATCCCCAAAAACTCGTTAAAACGGACCGTTTACTGTAATATTCAACATAAATTTAGGAGAGCATTGTACAGTATTTAGAATTGTGATCACTGGTCTCAAATCTTTCCCATGAGAACAGTGGTTTCAGTACTACCCACTTCCTGCTGATCTAGTCCGGTTAAACCAATGTGCTGATAAAAATTGCCCGGTTAAAGAGATATCATTTCCACCGAGTGTAGTCCGGTTAAACCGATGTCCGGTTAAAAGGTGCCCAGATAAGAGGAAGACTACTGTCTTTGGGGTGATAACGGCATAATTGATTGAGTTAAACTATAGGCCGATGTTCTAGTGCGTAGCAGCTATCCATTTTCAGTAGAAAACTACTATTCTACTTAATTGATATGGGAGTTAATAAGAGTTATAAAAAAACAGTTGCGCATACCTTTCAATAAGACAATCCAACACTGGAAGGTAGCAGGGGGAATGGGGATTGGGTGAGCTCACCACGCTGAGGGACACACAAGAAGATCTGGAAGTTCTGATGCACTGCACACACTTCGAAAGGGGGAATTTAGTATTATTAATCACTGATACAAGAGAAGGAGGTTTTAAAGTGGGAACATTTCACCACGAGGTGATCAAAAGACCGAGATTGCCAGAAAAACGGCGCGGCGCGGCACATACGTCCGATCGAGGAAGGTTTGAGACGCTAACTGAATAAAATCGTGGAGAAATTTGAGTTTTCCATGAGGGGGAAAGAGACAGATACATCACGCCATATGACGTTGGCATCATATGATTTTGAGGAGAACATGAGGGAGGGGAGTTACCGTGGTGTGTTTGTGTGAGTAGAGTGGAATTCATTTTACAGACTTACACAAATACTAACTAATAAACAAATACATGTTATAACCTATGCACACAGTTAATTAAATGGCCGGCATGTCTTAGACTTAGTCTATGGGTAGAGGGAAGACCTTTGAGACAGGCCTTCGATATGTACCCTGGTTGGTGCGCACGTCTACTACACGCACTATACCATCGTCTCCGGGATGTGTTGCGGTGATACGTCCCAGGGGCCACTGAAGGGGGTGGGGTGATGATTCCTGAAGTAGGATGAGGTCTCCAACATGAAGCTCTGGAGAAGGAGTAGTCCATTTTCCCTGTTGTTGCAGCGTATATGCAGATATTCGGCATGCCATTGTTTCCAAATCCGTTGATGGAGAGCTTGTTCTAATTGCCAATGGCGTAGACGGTTGTCTGGACGATCCTGGAGATCTACGTCCGGGACAGCTACCAGGGGGGCACCAATGAGGAAGTGTCCAGGGGTCGAGATCGGAAAGATCCGCAGAGAGAAGTGTTAAGGGGCGAGAGTTAAGCATGGCTTCCACGCTTTACTGTAGGTAGTGAGGTTACTGATACCGAGATCTGATTTTGATAAGGATCAGCTACTAATGACCTTAAAAATGTAATGGCACAAAGCTTAACGTTAATTTGCTTTTTACTTTATATTACAATTAAATACTTGAAGCCTGAAATGTAAACCTTCAATCAATATCAAATGTTACTGAATTATGAGTGGTGGTAGACAGTGTTGGATTTACAACTATGCCGTGGTTTAGGACCGTGGGGTATTGTACAATAAACGCCGCAATTGCTCGTGGCGATGATGATGTCCCCTTGATCGCGGGAGATGTTTAGGATTTGGCTTCAATCGCGGGGGGGGAGATGATGATGTCTCCTCGACTGCTGGAGATGTTCATGATTAATTTTTTGTTTCAGGGGTTTCAACCCACCTGACCTTAAAACTTGATTTTTTAAAATTAAACATTTTATTCTTCAACTAAAAAATCTTTTTTATATGTCTCTAAATAGCCTTAAAACGCGAGTTTGTAGGTATGAATTTTCAACAGTTTCCAGGACCCCTCTTTTACCTCCCATACCTCCCAGACTCCTCGGTGTTTAGGGGTCGTTTATAAACGGCCTACAACCCAAGATTCCAAGCAATGGCCCCCTCTGAGAATCTGTGCTGGAGCCGTCCCTGCTAAAGATTGTCTACGTAATAACACCAAAATAAGAGGCTATGTTGAGTTTGTCAAAAATCCAATTAGAAACTGATATTTATAACGTGATAGCCTATTTTGTTTATTGTGTTCATAATGACGATTGAAAAATTATATTTTCTTGAAAAACATGACTTGCTTTATTTATTTTTGTGTTGTAATAATCCAAGTATTGAATATTTTACATCAGTAGAGATTTTTATTTTTACAAGGCAAAAATGTGGTTCGGATTCCACTGTAGGTCCCTTAGTTGCTTTTAGCTGTATGGGGTAATTAACAGCTGTGGCTAAGGAATGTCGCCCTTAGTCACTAACAAGACTACAAGATCGCGCCACTCATCCTACACTCATCTCCATTCATACTTGGCTTAAAATACCTACTTCGTATGGTCGTCATTTCATTGAACAGTATTAACAGTATTTTGGAGGTTCAAATTGCACATGTAAGGCATAAAAAACTCAATATGGCCTCTTATTATGGTGTTATTAGGTAGACAGTCTTATGGGGAATAATCCAAAACGTATTTTACATCTCCTAATGGTACGGGCTCATTTTTATATTTAATATAATAATTAAAATATTCTCTGTACATACACTATGTGTAGGCATATAATGCTCTTAATAAAAAATTTCAATTTTGATGGGTGTGTTTTACAGTTTCTGATGACAACTCATCCGTTCAATCCTCTCCATGGCAACGAGACCATTGTTGGAAGCAAACTGCTCCTGTACACAATGCAGGGCGAGGGATGGAGTTTGTGATGCTGAGACGAAAAGGTCACAGATTAAAATACACACCAAAGAGTGTACGTCGCAAAAGAAGACGCCCTTACGACACTAGCACAGTTGATTGGAATGAAAGGCTCCTTCCAACAGCCACAGTCAAGCGAGAAAACACAAAAATTAATTCGGTAAAGTAGAGTTTAGCACATGAGAACTACTATAATAGTTAATTGCATTGGGAGCCTACCAAAGACCGACAAGATCGTCTGGCCACTAGACCGTCTTTTTTAATTAAATAGATAAATACTGAAAACCAGTACGTCGACAAGTTATTTCATCGTCAGTCCAGTTGACTGGCCTGTAAAACTAAATTATTATATACGAGAAACCAACTGGACGTTAATCGACCCGACCGACAAACCACTTGGTCGTCTTTTAGGTGGGGATGTGGGGCAGAGTGGGAGGAGCTAACCGGGATTACCCAGAAGTTTGAGGCGCTTCCCATGGTCGACCCCGTCACTCGAGGCTAGAAGCCAGTATTGCCAACTGAAAGTGCTAGCTCTGTCAAGCAGTACACACACGGCGTGTTTGTTTATGCAATCCGCCGTGCGAAGACAGTTTGTTGTACTGTAGTTGATATTGGCGCGCGATTGTAAGTTTCTACAGCAACCGTGCCGTGACTTTGTCCTTGGTCTCGCGCATTCCTCAGCCATTGTATTATTTAATCTGCATAAGTTGAGACTCGCTTATATGCATTGAGTCTATTTCTTTCTTGGTTTTTGATAGTTTGTTTGGATAAAAATACGTACCGTATATTGTAGAATTGAATTTGTAGTTTGGTAATATGGTATTATGGGATATATATATATATAGGACCTGTGTATAATTACTGTATGGGTAACATGGATGTCAATTTACCTTGTGTATATCAAAAAAGTTTAATAACTGAAATTAATAGTACAAAGAATGTGCCTGGCAGGACTTTTTTTTCCAGAGCAAAGCCGGAATTAATATTTTTATTTCAACATCTGTTAAATAAGTCTGGTTCATAAATTAATAGTTTCCTGGCAAGACTTGACAACAAATCTATATATCTACTAGTGGCCTGTAGGGACATAAGTCCCTAAAAAGCTCAATAATGCAAAACATATTATTCTAATATTTTAACACACTCAGAAATATATTATTTATGTGTCAGAATAGATATCCCTGTACACCATATCTTTTGTGTAAAAACCGTTTGTTGTTTGTCTTTGTTTGCTTTTGTTGAGTTATTTTCAATAAACAATTTGTGTTTGGTATAACAAGAAAAATATATGTACTGAGAATGAAATTAATCAGTCTTAATTAGGCTAATTTTTTAAGTGCTAAACCATGTTGAATTACTGTCACAGACCTTAGTGAAGCTGAAGAGATGTTTGGTTTGGGGTACCCCACCTGACTTGAAGCACTGGGCAATGGCGGCGTCGACGAGGACTGTCCATATACACGTTGAACTACTTGCACTATTACAATTGTCCGTTAAATAAACAAAAAAATAATTTCTTCTTGGGATAAAAACAAAACTATTGTCACTTCTATTAGCACTGTACAGACTGATTAATTTAAAAAGTAAAAAGGTAAAAATTGCGGAATGATCAAAAGATGATGCGGATAGACAATAGAAAATATGATGATATCAGCGTTGAGGGCAAAGGCTGCATACCTTTGTTTATCGTGAAGAGCGGCTGAATGGCGGAAAATTACTTGGGCTGGGTTTTGTTTGAAACGGAAAAATATAAATAAGGAATTGTTTAATTTTAAAATCATGAAACTTAAAATATCCATCATATCAACCCCCCTGGAACCAACCTGGTTCAATGAAAAAACTGAAAAATGGGAAATGACGAATGAAAATAAATTGAAAGGGGGTGAAAGGGAATGCTTAGGAACTAATTGGTAGTAAGAAGGGAAACTTTGACGGCTGGCCGGCTGAAGTTCCCTGTAGCGGTGAGTAGATGGACCACTCGTACAATACCGTCTGCTCCTGGAGATACTGCGGTGATCGGTGATTCTTGCAAGTTTCCATTGTAGGGGATGAGTGTTAGGCTCATGCATAACAACAAGGTCACCAATCTTGAGGTTCTCTGTTTTACTCGTCTACTTAGAGTGATGCTGTAGAGTATGCAGATACTCTTGTGACCATCGAGTCCAGATGTGTTGAGAGAATGCCTGAACTAATTGCCATCTCCTCAAGCGGTTACAAGAAGTTTCATCATATTGAGGTTCAACCATGGATTTCAGAGGTCCACCAGTTAAGAAGTGTCCTGGGGTTAGAGGCTCTAAATCATTCGGATCTCCAGAAAGAGGGGTAAGCGGTCTTGAATTTAATATTGCTTCGACACGTGACACGAGAGTCATGAATTCCTCATAAGTCAGGATTTGGCCACCGATTACTCGATGAAGGTGATGCTTAGCACTCCTAGCAGCTCGTTCCCACAAGCCACCTTGATGAGGCACGTGTGGAGGCAGAAATTTGAAAGAAATGTTTTCTTTGGCAAAACGGTGAGTTACTGGATTGCAAAGGAGGTTGTTAAAACATTTGTGAAGTGCAGCAGCTGCTCCGACAAAGTTGGTTCCACAATCACTATGAATTACCTTCACTGAATTACGTCTGGAAATAAAACGTGTAAGAGCTGCTATGTAAGCTTTTGAGGACAAATCCGACACAACTTCTAAGTGTACGGCTTTCGTTGCAAACTTTAAATAAACTTTAATAGGCTGAAGCCTTTTTAGGACATACAATTTCACTGTAAATGGTCGGGCATAGTCAACTCCAGTAACATTAAAAGGTCGGGTTGCTACCACTCTTGGGGAAGGTAAGTCTCCCATCAATGGTGTGTTTGGCTTAGGTTTCATTCTGAAACATCTTAAGCACTTAAAAATCCTGGAGCGTATGATACTACGAGCAGAAAGTATCCAATATTTCTCACGAAGAACAGCTTGTAGTTGTGTTGGTCCACAGTGAAGAAAGATGTGATGATGATAATCAAGTATCAAATTTACAACAAAATGATCCTTTGGTAAGATAATTTTATGCTTGGCGCTGTACGGCAACTCAGAATGTTTCAGTCGTCCTCCAACTCTTAACATCCAAAAAGATCCTCTCATCATCCTCTTCATCATCCAGAAACGGTGAAATAGTCCTGCAGCTAGCTATACATTAGTGTGCAAACTTGCGTATACTCAATATTCTTGCATAACGTTTTAGTTTGATGTCTAGGGAGTTTAAAAAACCTGGGTGTTTACCTCCTACCCCCCACGTTTTCCGGCTATGACGTAATCAAAATGGCGGCCATTGATTTTCAAAAAGCGTATATTTCGCAAACTATTTGTCGGATCGGAATGAACTTTTTTTTATTTGAAAGATAAGTTTAAACGCTATCTGTTTTACATTTACACATTTGTTGTATGCTTAGTAAATTTTTCGTAATTTTGCAAAAACCTGTATTTATTAATATTTTTGTGTTATTAGCGAATTTCCCTATTAGTACAGGTAAAATAGGGTTTTATAAACAACAAAATTTGTACATTCATGAAATTTCACCTGTGAGTTACTAATAATATCAGAAATGAAGATCCGATGAGTCCCCAAAATTTTGGGTGTCCTAAGGCCCTTTTCGGGGCCCTTTTTGGTCCGAAGGGCCCTTGTTCCTGAATAATTTTGTTTTTACGTTTAAGGTCGAGTGAGGTGTGGTTTTCGATGGTTTTAGTTATTTTAAATCGATTGGGACTAGTTTTAAGTGTATTAAACCACTCTATACAAGGTGTTTAGAAATGTTATTACTTTTTACGATATTTAAACATGTATTCATAGAGTAATAAAATTAGTTACCTCCATGCTCTACATAAAAGGGGATTATTGAAAATAATTGTAATTTTTTACTACGTAAGGTGAAAGGATCACAAGGAGTAAGAGAAAATATTAAATACCCCCGTCACAGCAATCCTGCAGACTAAGCGAAATTCGGCTTTACTTACTTGATTTTCAATTAAATCTAAAATAGCATTGCGTTTAATGATTACCTAGGTTTGCTGCTACAAGGAGGCTATTAAAGTGTGTCTATATTAAAATATTAATAGCCTAGTATAAAAGAAATAAATTTGACAAGTAAGTTTGATCAAGGAAACAAAATCATTTTACACTATTCTACATAAGAATAACATGGGAATTTTAAATTTACAAATTTAGTATTTTATCCGTAACTAATAACCATACAAAAACACGTTAATATACTAAATTATTTGTTTTTAAGCTATTTAAAGCTATTCTAGAGAAAAATTGGGGAACTTTGTGTTTTGAGGGTGAAGTAAATGAGAAAACCCAATTTTTACCCTATAAACCTCGTTCCCATTGTTCAGGACAAAAATGCTTGTACCGACAATGCTGCTCTGATGTCTTAGTGCTGTCCTGGTCGTCATAACCACGAAAGACAACCGTACTTGTATTGAGTGAAAATTATTGTGAGCAAATTAAGATACAAGCTGCAAACGTCATTATGTATGAAAGGTGTTTTTGTACCAAATCACATTGTTCGTGCTTTAAGATTGGTGTTGCCTGTTCTGCAATATGCAAGGTTTGTAAAGGGGAATCCTGCTTGAGCACCAACTTGGACAAAATCAGTAAAGATGGACAAGTTGCTAAGAATAATAAAATTGTTAATGAGTCGTCTGAGAATAATTATTGTGATGATGAAATTGTAAAGAGAGATACTACGGGAATTGTAGAAAAATAGCTTTAGTTTAAGTACTTCATTTTAATATGTAATGTAAGGTTTTATACAAATACAATTGTTTTAATTTTTAATAATTGTGAAAAAAAAGAAAGAAAAAAAAAACTTAAATAACTACCTAAGAAAAATACATATCAATTTTAAATTAGTCTTAATAGATTTGCATGAAAAACACATTAAAAGATTATTCACATCACCTTAAAAGTTGAAATTTTTGCGTAGTAACCTATGTTATTATGTTATAGTGTAAAACTTAATCTATCCCCTTTTAGCGAACTTCCCATATAGGAAATAAGCTATTACCAAAGGTCTTATGGTAAAACATAGACCCGAAACCGATTTACGTTTTCATTTCGATGCCCCCAGAAGCCTAAAGCACCCTTAGAGGACTGCTGTTTACAAGGTTGCGAGATAAC